GCCTCCAGCTCCCAGCATGCAAAGGGGCGGCTCCGCGGGCCTTCCGGGAAACGGCGGTGGGCGGGCAGCCTCCCCACCGCGATGCCTTCTGGGAGGTGTAGTTTCTCTCAGGAGGAACTGCTTCGCGCCTTGACGGTTGAGATGCGCCCAGCGTGTCCCTTCTCCGACTCCAGGAGCCGGCGAGGGAGGAAGAGCTGCTCGCTGGCTCTGATGGAGCGGGTCTGGGCTGCCTCCCCTGTCCCGTAATTGGGGCTAGGGGTGAGGACCGGGATGCGGGTTGCGGAGGGAGAGGGGGACGGCGAGGGACCCCTTCCCCTCCTGCCTGGATCCATGTACTTCTGCGGGTTAGGCCATTTCTCGCCACTTTCTCCGTATCCTTACAACTTCATCGAGTGCTTTCTGGATTCTTAGTCTTATTTTGTAGTTGTTAATATGTATTTATTGTTTGAAGCTTTTTTTTTCCTTTGCAGCTACTAGGGCTGGAAAAAAAACCCTTGTGAGGCTTAGGTTGTAGCACTGATACTGTCCACAAAGAGTAGAGAGCAGGCAGAGGTTTTTAACATTCAAATTTGGTAACACTTGCAAAATTTAGAGGGGTAGACTGAGGGTGGATTCTCTTATCACAAACTAACATTTTTCTTATTTTTTGCTTGTTGGTATGGAGTGAAGTGTTCAGAACAAGCTTCTGCTGTTCCTTTTCATGTTTTAAGCCAACTGTTCAATAAATACATCTGAATAAACTTATGCTAAATGAGCACGCTCTTTAATTTGGTTCACGCAGTGCTGAAAGTTAATATTTTCTTTGTGTAGCTTTGAAAGCAGATAAGACGCTGTGGAAAGTAGAATGTCAGAAGATATTGAAGGAATTGAAAAAGAAATAGCAATTGAATTAAGCAGAATCAGTGTTTCTTCCTTTGAAGCAGATGATCCTGACACAGAGGTATCAGATGAAACTTTGAGTGACAGTGAGACAGTAAGTATTCAATGGGCTAAAACTGCTTCTGTTTCTGCTTGAAAGTAGTACGGGCATTGGAAAGCCTATCTGATGAATGAACTTTTTCCTGACATACCTAACCTGAGGATTTCTTCTGAAAGTCTCAGTAGTATTGCTTCATGAAAAATGTAACCTCCAATGGTGACAAGACAATAAAAGAGATGAATATCAGCATTCTGCTTAAGTGAAAAAAATCAGATATCCTAGATAATGATTTGTTTTAGAATTCTCTGAAGCTGGAAGATTTTATTAAAGCTAATGAGGTAGATTGCATCTGGATGAATAAGCCAATGATTCTTCATTTAAATCCATATTTAAATATCACAAGAGACTGTCTTATGTTTGAAGACTTCCTGATATTAATTTCATATAAATTGGTGCTTCAAGTCCTCTTTTTTTGGATGACTTCTTATCTTGGGGAAAGATTTTCCTCTGAAGTCCAATCAGTTATTTGGGTCCTTTTCAGTTATTTTAATCTTTCAGACTTGTAGGAAAAAGTATTGGTCTATAGGATATTAGGGTAGAAGATATAGGTTATATGTGACCATAAATCATATGATTTATATGACATAAAGCTAGGCAAATGTATCAGTGATAATTATTTATGCACTCACATGCTGAATGCCGGCAATGTTTACTGCAATTTACACATCTGAGAGAAGGCACTCCATTTTCCCAAATGCTTGCAGTAAAAGATAGTCTTTTGAATAGAAAATATCTGTGTAGTAAAGAAACTTGAAGCATCTGATTTACATGCATACTTTAAACATTAGTAAATTTAAAAGTAATTTGTTTTTTAAAGAGTCTGAACATTTTTAAGAAAAAGATCCTGCATCACAGGTATTCATTAATTTTTTGTCTTAACCTTTTTATTAATTTCTTGGTCCAACAGAATTATAAAGAAAATGTTAATGGAAACATGTTTCTGGAGATAGTGGAAGATAAGTTACTAAAATGTGTTCCAATCAAAATTTAATTAGACTGTAATTAAAAATGAGAATTATTAATTGTTCAGTGGGTGATAAGACAATGGGAAGAGTGTAGGAATTAGCAACAATTTTGGTAGCAATTGCTACTAAATCTCCATCAGTGCTTTATAGGTGAAGCCAAAATGAGTCTTTATTCTTGCATGTCAAGTATTTACCTCTGGTTGTGGCTGTGAGATGAAAATGTAGAATTTATGTCAAACGTCGTGTTTTTCTAGATTTCAGATGACTTGCCAGAATCAGTTCTCTCCTATTTAAATTTTATAAAGAGCAGAAATCAAGATGCTGAAAAGCTTATACTGCAAGACTTAGAAGATGAAGAAACTACAAGTAAGCAGGGGTCACAGTTAAAATATTTATGCACCTCATATTGCCAGTGGAAGTTAGACTAACAATCTTCAGTGAAACAATGCAAACTTTTC